TTTTGTCAGGCGCGGGGGGCCGCCGGCGTTCAGCCCGCGCGCGGCGGAACCGCCGGAGGTCGCGGCGGCGCAACTCGGCCTCTTCGGCGGGCCCCTCGCGGGGATCGGGGTCACCGCGTCGCGGGATTCCATCGCGCGGAAGGCGTTGGTGCTCGTCTTCGAAACCGGCCGCGTCGCTGTGGTGGAGCTCCGCCAGTTCCTCGGCATCGGGCGCCTCGCGATGCCGAATCAGAAGGATCGGAAAGCCTCCCACGTGCTCGTGTTTAGCGAGATGCTCGCGACGCATAAGTATCGCCTCGCGCTCCCGCAACACGTCGTCACCGCGGCGACGAATCTGGAGAGCTCCAGCCACGTCTTGGTGACGGGGCTCGACCTCTTTTACGTCCGCTACTCCGCCGGGAAGCCGTTCGACTTGTTGAATAGCGATTATAACAAACCCCTGCTCGTGATGTTGGTGATCAGCCTGTTGGTGGCATCGTTGGTCGCACGCTATTTTGTCCTCCGGAAGAGTTTGTCGACGATCTGGGCGTGAGAAAAGGGAGCGGCGGCAAGGAATGGGTTGGGTTCTGAGATATCGATACCTCCTGTGGAGGTGGATTTGCGAAAATAATATACATTCAGAGAGAGAGAGAGAGACATTAGACAGAAAAAGAAAGGAATGGGTTATAAAAGTCTGGCGGTTGTTGATAAATAAATAAAACCTACGCAAGTGAAAGTGGCGAAAACGAGGGGAGGAGGGTCTGCCTAATTAATAGTTAAAAGCCTCCTAAGACAGAGAACAATAAGCGTAATTTAACGAAGCTCTAAGTTTGAAGGTGATGAGTTGACGGTGTTATGGTTAAATAGGATCCTTTCTGATGGAGTCTTCGCGCTCGATGCAGGTTTCTAAATGGACCAAAATGAAACGAATGACATGCTATACATCTCCTTCCTTCACCCCTCTTGTTGCTTCATTAGGATGGAAAGGTGGTCCGCCAAAGGGGAGGTCGGGCGCCCGAAGGACGTCTGAACAGACAGGAAAAAGCGGATCTGCTAGGCCTTTTGCGGACAGGCGCAGATTCAACTAAACCTACTCAAGAATATGCCCATTATACCGGATGACGCCAAAATGTAATGCTTGCCCCTTCCCCACAGACATTTTCATTCCATTGATCCATGTTTGGATCCCAAAATGAAGACCAACTTACTGAAGCGCCATGCTCAGAGGCGTTTGGGCTGAAGACCCTATATCAACCTTATCCAGAGGACAGGCAAGAAAAGAATCTTCCTAGAGGAAGCTCCACTAGTTACCAAAAACGCAGCTTTCCACAGCTCACCTCTTCGCAATTTATCGCTGCAATTTGATAGTGAAATTCGGGGAAAGCGGGCCTCCCATTGCTGTTATGCGAATTACATATGAAAAAGAAGAAGAAACGAAAATAGGGTACCATGCTTGTTGGGTTCTCTTTTTACATGCTTGCCAAACAATAAAAATAAAAGCAAAGACGTCGTCCATCAAGATAGTCAAGCATTCACGAATAAAATGGTGTGAATGAGTACGGTAGTGGACGGTGTCGAAATTAAACGAACCCATCAAAAATAAAACGGCCTACCTTTAATTTGTCATACGCATGTTGCCTATGATCACTGAAAGTGGAGAATTCCTCATTCTGTATGGATGTGTGCTCAATTTTGTCTTCCCAATTCTTCCTTGGCTTTTATTTTTATTGTTTTTTCCAATTTTTTGCTTGTTTAATAATGCCCTCCTCGACAGCCATGGAATCTCTCTCGAAGGGATTTTGCGCGGCAGCCCTTGTGGTCGCTCTCTCGAATGATCAGCTGGAGGCCTGGCATGCCCAATGGCCCCACCCAACCCTTCAAGTCGTGGATATCTTCCGTTATCCGAGCGGAATCACGGCGGAGACGGAGACGTCACGGTTTTATCTCGCCCTTTCGGATACGCAATCCCTTATTTGGGCGGTCATCCCGCCTGGGGTCGATTTAGAAGACGAGATCGCCACCTTTCACGTGGATATCGGCTGTTGTGTGAGGCTCGAAGGATACGAAATGATCGCGGCGGCTAACGGGCTGAACGTACTCGTGGTCCTGCACGCGAGCTTCTCGGGGGATCCGTTGTCGCTGCTTGGCTTTCCAATTGTCGACGAAGGGCTCTTCGCGCTCTCCCCACGCGCTCTTCGAGGGTCCTTCGATAAAGGACGAAAAGACGGATTCGGCAAAGAAGGGGGGTCGTCTTCTTTTTGTCCGGAGGATGAACTCTGTCTGCGAGATTTGATCGATCGCCCTGGCTGCACCGTGGAAATCCCCGGGTGGTGGATCGCGTTGCGGATTGTTTGGCAACGTCGTGATGGGAATCCTATCAGGGGTTCTCATTTTTCGTCTTCTTCGACTTCGTTTTCGCGCCATTCACTTCCTTCCGCCGTCGGTGTGGATCGCAACGGGGAGGGGATGGGGATGTTCCTCGCCCGAGGGGCCGAAGTGTGGGAAGGGAGGGTGGTGCGAGGCCGAGGGGCGCGGGTCTCGTGGGGTTCCGACGGAGGCGACGGGGGACCTCTCGCGTTGCATTTCGACGACCCCGCGATGCTCCACGTCGTCGACGAGGCGGATGAACTCGCGCGGGGAATTCCGAAACGCCCGCGCGCGTTGGTGGGTTCCCTCCGTCGTCGTCTGCGCTCCCCACGCGGGGTCGCCGAGGCGGGGGTCGGCGACGTCGTCGCGATCGACGCGATCATCCGCGCGGTCGACGGCGGGGCGATGGTGCCCACCAAACGCGGGCAACTCCTCCGCCTGATCGCGCATTTGGAGTCGGACGACGAGGAGGCGGCGGAGGCCCACGAAGGGGATCCCAATCCCACCCGAGGCTTTCCCAGGGGGCGTGAAAAAGAAGGGGTGGAGCTCGCGTTGTGGGGCGCCCTCGCGGAGGCGATTGAGCCGCGCCCGGGGGAGCGGTGGTGCTTCACCGACTGCACCGTTCGCGAGTTTCGCGGGCGGAAAAATCTGAGCAGTCGAGGGAGCACCATCGCGCTCCGCCTTCAACGCGGGAAACCCGCGGTTTCGCCGTTTTCCTCGCCCCTTTTGGGGTTCCCCACGCGTTTACACGAGGAAACGGCGAAACGAACGGAAAAAGCGGGGGTGGCGCGTCCGTTGCATCTCGCGCGGGGGCTGCGGGAGGCCTCCGCGACCCTCCCCGCGCTCGTGCGCATCCAAGGCATCGAACGGCCCCTCACACGGGGGGTTTGCGCGCGCTGCCGGGCCCCTCGCGTGGGGGCGATCGCGACGGAAAACGGGGAGGGGATGTTCACCCTCGGAGAAGCCTGCGAGTGTGGGGGGGAAACGCGGGAGGGGTTCGTTGTGGTCTTGCAAATCAGCGACGGGGTGGAAAGTCGACGGGTGTTGGGCTTCACGACCGCGGGGGAGTCGCTTTTTGGGATCCCCGAGTCCGAATTCGTTTCAAATCACAAAAAAGAAGTGGGGTTTGAACGAGAGGCGTGTGAAAGCCTCATCGGATCCCCGATAGCGGTTTGGTTGATGAATTATTCGAAGGAGATGCCACTGCTGGTGAGTTGTCGCCATATCAACCTCTCGCTATCCTCGACGGTCCTACTCTCCGCGATTAAGGATATCATGGGTGAAGGCTAAGTTTGGCGTATGACTTCCTTTTCTTCTTTTTCACCCCAAAATCGAGGCGTACCTTCCCCTCTCTCTCACCCTTCTTCCCCCCTCCCCCCCCCCCCCCCCCACCCCACACACGGTG